TTCTTCTTCAGATGGAAGCTGAGTTGCACCTTTTAGATAAGGTGGAATATTCAGATCCACATCAATGGATCTTAGCTCATTTTGGATGGTAAATCCTCTATCAGCCATTACAGAATCCCCTGGTGCTAATTTTTCAAACAATCCACTTTGAGTAATAATCTCCTTTTCACTAACGCGCCCAGGATATAAATGTGACACAAATGACATGAATCCATTTGGTGTAATGCCTGCAACGAATTTTTTCCAAAAATATTAGTTATTTAGGTATAATGAAATGTTTAGGTAGGTACCTATAATTCCTCGAGCAGTGTTGTGAGCTTTATAGGTTGAATATGTCGAACTTTGGAGTAAACAATCAGAAGGTTTTTCAATAAATATTTCCATGCCATCCAAAATGATTCTAGTGCTTGGGTATCTTGCCTTAAAACACTGAGGCATGTACTTTTGCACAATTTCTCTAGTAGGCCAAATAGGCAGTTGCCGAAAAAATGCATTAAGAACATATATCCACTGTCTGGTAATCACAGATATAATGCCAACATCTAAATGCCAACGGGAAGCTAAGTCAGTTACCATTAAGCCAAGACGCAAACGAATTATTGTTAATAGAAGTTGAATTCTTTCAGGTACCAAACATTTTTCAGACTTAAGATTTTTTGGTGCATTTTTACTAAATTCCAAAATAACATCCATAAATTCTAAAAACCACTGCTTATCATCAAATGTAGTGTAAAAGTTCATAAAACACGTGTCTTCTAATATTTGATTTGCTTGACTTTGCAATGAACTTTGTTTTTCTAAACTTGACACCTGATTTTCTAATTTCCAAATGTATTTTTGGTTCAACTTAAATCGCTCTGCATCATATTTTCCAGGAATATAGGCATAACTGTGTTCCTTCATGATTGCATCTTCAATGCTAAATGGAGCTGCAAACATAAATGAAATCAACTTAGTATAATTTAATAGGTGCATATCAAAGATGAAATAGGTATGTGTATACATAGGGTTCATGGTAAGAGAAGGGTAGACCTTAACTACCTAATTTTCACAAAATTCTTTTGCAGAGGTACTATAAGATATTTAAACAGGTAGGTAGGTTCTCCCTACAAAACCATCTAAAGTCTGACTATGAGTACTTACTTTCTGGCTTGTGTTGTTCACAGAAAAACTGTTTTCGAAGAGAACCTTCTTCGCATGTTTTTACAGAAAACAACTTTGTAATCACATTGTTCTTCGATTTTGATGATTTTTTGCATATTCTACAAGTATGACCACCACTGTATCTCCTCAAATACTTTGAAGTAAAGGCCCTGGATGTATTATTGTGCAAAAGGGTCTCCTCACTCTCCTCCTCCTCGAACATATCACCAGTGGCAAGACTAGGAAGTGGCAGTTGAAATGATAAATGAGAAAATCTAATCCAAACTTGTTTGTTTGTCATTGTGACAGTTTTGGATAGCTGACTAGTCAAGGTGCTGTCAAACTTAAATTTTTCGCCTCATTTTTATTCTAATAGGTGACTTATGAGTTAGCTATCTTTGTTTAGTGAATGGAAAATGACAATCACCGACATAGAATGGTGAATCTATCAGTAAAATTTGTAAACGCAGAGAAATGGCCGCCAAAAGGCACACAAACCATTTGTTTGCTTGTCAAAGTCACGTGTTTTGGATATGCTAATAGAATCAGAGAGAGAAAGTAAACAAACAAAAAGGATAGCGACGATCAATCATGTAGTTACTTTTTTTTTTAAGTTGACAGCTCGCTAGTAATTTTTTTTTTTGCTTTTGGCAACTATGTTCGCGCACCGCAATATGGCGTCCAAACAAAAGGTCAATTAAGGACTATCGTAGAGCGCATGCCCAGTTATAGCTGGGTTCGACTTGCTCACTCCGTGCGCTCCGAGTGATTCCGTTCGCACTTCAGCCGTTCGGGTATATATATAAATATATTACCTTGTAGCTTATCAGAAAACGGCTGGAGTGCGATCGGAGTAACTTGGAGTGAGCAACCCGAACCCAACTTGTGAATGGGTTCAGATTCCTATTTTATCGCGAACAGTTTTGGAACCGAACAAAAACTCCAGAACCTTACTCCAGACTGTTGAATACGTGAACGAATTGCGAATGTCATGTCTCAAACTTGAAGTTAGCTTAGCCTGGGACCGGCGGAATTTGTTCAGAATCGGTTCCGAATCATATCTGGTGAAAGCATGAAAATATAACGACAAAAACACTTTTTTTTTTTGCACTGATTCTGCAAATGGAAATCGCTATGAATTTGATTCTGCTTGTCATATTTCTGAATTTGACAGCTGACACGACGTCTGTTTTTGTTAACACTTTTTTCCCCGCACTCCCGCACCATACCGTTTTTTATTTTTGGTTATCTCAGGCGATTGCCTAAGGCCATGTTGATATTATTTCTTAGTGAGCATCTCCAACCTATTACTTACCTATTTGCAAAATTTCATCTCGATTGGTTGAGTAGTTTTCGAGATTCCGTGTTTAATGAGTCAGTCAGTCAGTGAGTGAGTGAATTTCACGTTTATATATATATAGATTTACCGATTTCTAAATCTTTTTTTTTATATATTCAATGCTTGAGCGTAAGTTTTGGATCTTCCTCCACCATGCCTGAGATTTTAGCTATTTATAAGAAGTAAATAAGTTGATTTTATATCTATATCTCAGTGTACCGATTCGCATATTGATACTGATGGCCGATGGGTGATAAAATATCCACTTACCCGATAACCGATCGGGCCGAGTCCAACTAACGTATCATTTTCCTTATTCCGAAACAGGTAAATTTTGTGGCCAAATTCAAGGATCCCGAAGCAAAACACATATTGTATTACAAGTGTCACATTCAAAAGGATAAATATTCGAGTGTGTTGAAATGTGCCTTTGTAAATTACCTTTTTGTTTAAATTTTGCTTTGCAAGTGTCACATTCAAATGGATAAATACCCGATTGTGTTAGTTTGTGTTTTTTCAAATTATTCTCATCCGAGTGTGTTGATATGTGGCTTTTCAAACTACGTTTGTGTTCTAGTTTTGCATTGCATGTGTCAAATTTTAAAAAAATATCAGAATGTGTTAGTTTGTGTCTCTTCAAACAGTCTTTTCCTTTGAATTTTGCTTTGCAAATGTCACATTCAAAAAGATAACTATTGAAGTCTGTTGATATGTAACTTCTCAAATTACCTTTTTGTTTAAATTTTGCTAATTTACATTTTTCTTTAAATTTTGCATTGCATATTTTGCATTTAAATTTCTTCTCATCCAAGTGTGTTAGTTTATGTCTCTTCAAACTGCCTTTTCTTTCAAATTCTGCTTTGTAAATATTGCATTTAAAATTCTTCTCTCCCGAGTGTGTTAATGTGTGCGTTCAAATCACCTTTTCCTTTAAATTTTTTCTGACCAGTATCAGTGTTGATGTGTGTCGCTGTAACTCATTTTTTTTTTTCCAATTTATAAGTGTTACATTTGAAAGGACAAATATCCAAATGTGTTATTGAATTATATTTCAAATTTGATTTGGTTTTAAATGTAGCATTGCAAGTGTAACATTGAAACTTTCTAATAACATCTTCTCTTGATAAATTGATATCACTCGAATGTTTTTTTTCTTTTATAAATATTCCTTTATTTGGATCTATTAATTCAATATCTGATAGTCAAAATTACTTCACCATGTCCAACAATATTTTAGAAAGCTTCAATTGTATTTTAGAATAGTCATTTTCTCATTTGTATTTAAGAAATCTCCCATGAATAATGAAATAAATTTCTTAAATACAAATGAGTCAAATGACTATTCTTAAATACAGCGGAAGCTTTCTAAAATACTGTTGGAAATGGTATATTTTTCAAAAATTTTCGTACGATTTAAGATTTTGCAATAAGACGGTAAAAGGAAAGCAACGAGCTATCGAACGATGTGCAATACAAGGCAGATTTATATTAAAAAAAAAAGTTAGGGTAACTACCCCCTAAGGGGTGAGGCTCGAAAAGTGTCTCATTTTGATTCCTCCTCCAATATCCCAATACGTATTTAAGATCTTCCTGATAGTATTTTTTGTCTTAGAGATATTGTCGATTGCTACTTTTCAAATTGTCATCCTGTATACCTAAGTATCTCTGAAATAGTGATTTTTTAGATAGAAAGAATGTTTCAAGTTTTTCTATATAAATATTTATTGATGATGATTATTTAGACTGAAGTGCCCTTTTTTACGCATTTATCCAATTGATTTTGACCCCTCGTACATATTTTTTTGCGGGCGCCCCTGGCTATCATTAAACTACTGACTGAATAAACAGAATAAATGGACTAACACACACACACACACACATGCTCAGGCCTGTTGGTTTGCGCAGGCCGAATTTCAAGCAGATTTTCAATTTGCTCAGGCTAGGCCAACGGCATGTACAGTCAGCCGAAAGTATCCACAAACGTGCCGATATGCCTGCACAAACCAGGTTTGCACAGTGGGCCTGTGCAAAATAACTGAGCGTCTGTGGGGACTTTTAAATCCATATTCAGTTTGAATACAAACAAAAAAATTATACGATACAGAAAAGCAACCCACAAGACAAGACTTGACAAGACGTTAACTAAAACTGTAGTTGGTTTAATTTTAAGCACATAATTTTCTTATGGTCAACTAAACTTAAAGTTAACTGAAAAATGATGCTTGACCAAATTATGTGAAACACTTTTTGTTCATTAACCTTTGGTTTTCATTAAACCATTTGGTAACTACACATTGTGAAACTGAGAGTTAGAATAATTTGAACAATAGAAGTAAGTCAAATAAAATTAATGTAGATGGAATACTTAAGAGTAATTTAAATAAGGTTAGTACAAGTGGAACAGAATTAAAACAGTTAAAGTAATTCGGACAGTTGAATAGATCAAAAAAGAGTCAGTGCACTTGGAACAGTATGAGTAGAATTACTGAAAACCCAAAATTAAGGATAAAATTCTTACCTAAGCTGAACAAACAAAATCCCATTGATGACATTCAACATTTCCAAAACCGATCCCATCGAAGGCGGCTGAATTTGAATGGGCGGCAACGCCGTCGCATTTTTACCGGTATAAATCTCGTTCATTTTCTTTTGCAGCACGACCGCCTGCTGCGTCAAATGTTTCAGACACTCGGAAGACTCTTTGGTTTTTTCATGATTATCGCCCAATTGCGTCTTGTAGATGGCGAACGCTTCTTTTTCGTTGGTCAGGGCGGCTCGGAAGTTGCCCATGCAGCTGTGCGTTCTCGCCACCAGGTGGTAGCTGAGAGCGACTTTTAGGGATTTGCCGCCGTAGTATTTGACGTTGAGGGCCAAAGCTTTGTCGAGAAAACGGAGGGCGAGTTCGTATTCGCCTACGGCGTGCAGGATCAGACTGATGTTACTCTGAAAACACAGTCAATTTAAATTGAATTTTTCAAAAAAATTAATGATTTTATGCTCACATCTAATAAAGCGACTTCTGGATGATTTTCGCCGCAAACAATTACCGCTAAATACCTGGCTCGGTACAATAACTTCAGGGCTGTACTTATTTGACTGTTTGCGAAACAATACAAAGCTAGATGAGCCTAAAAAAATAACACAAAATTGTTTTTAATTTATTCAAAAATTTCCTTAAGATAAATGAGAGTGATACAAACATCTATTGTCAAAGTCAAAATGTAAATTATAAATTAACCATCTCACTTACATATTCAGTAATCGTATAAGGATGATCGATTCCATTGACCCTCTCTGACATCAGAACCGCTTTCTGTTGGTAGGCCATCGCCTCGGCATGATCGCCCATAATATAATTCAGCCTGGCGATCATTCTCAGACACTGCGCAATCTCGGGATGCATCGCCCCGTAAACGTTATTGAGCAATGTCAATGCCTCGCTAATTAATTCATAGCCTTCCTTCAAATACCCTTGCTGGATCTTAGTTTGCCCTGTAGTATAAAAATTATAGGCATCAGTGGCTCGTGGATTTATATGCTTGACTATAGGAAATATATTCAGACAATCTTCCTCGAAAAATATCAGTTTGTTTTTCGATTCCAAATTGTAGTCGCGCAATAGAATTTGGATGCCGCTTTTGAGGCAAAAACCTCGTAACAGCGACACTTTTTGGAGGCCGTAGTTTTCGATGACGGCATCGACGTCATTTGACGTCAAATCGTAATCGTAGTAGGCCTTGAGTTCTTGCCGGAGTTGATTCCACAAAGATTTCGGAGTCAGATTCGCCCACTCGTTGTTTTCGTTGCCCATCAGCGGGTTGGCGCGGCCTCGCCGTTTGTTGCGCTTTTTGTTCGTTTTACTCTGGAACTGAAAAAGAAAATATGTATTTTTGATGACGAAACGCTGGCGCCGACTACATATGGGGGCATTGAGACATGGTGCACGTGTACCCATGAGAGCTCATGGGTGTCGCTCAAAGTTTATCAAACTTTTTCTAATAGGTCAACCAGTCAGATACATACAGCTGACAATCCGAAGCCAAGAAAAAGGAAGCTTCTAATGTGCATACCTACCTAGTTGAAACAGCAACTGAAACTAATGTGAATCCAAGTCGGAACCATTAAAACCAATACCCACTGATTTGAAATACTTAATTATTAACAAAAAAAAAATTATGTACCTATGCCTAGAGAAAGGATTTGGCTGAACTTAAATTATAATGGCGTTATCATCGGGTGAATGAGTTTTGAGATCCTTGGCGAGCCAATTACCTATAGTGCGACCATTTCGGTCCTTGAGCGTCCAAAGACCGAAAGAACTCGAGAGACTAGAAAAAGGCCGGAAAATTTTGGAAGTATTTCGCAGCATCAGAAAAATGGTAATTTTTTTTTCCAAACTTGTTGGTCAATCGTGCACTGTTCGTTACGTCTCCGCGAATTGTACACGTTATGGGATTTCTGGTAAGCCTGTGTAAGACATTGATGGATGTCTTTGAACAATCAAGCTAGACTTCGTGAACGCTCTAGGGGGTCAAACTTATTGTCAGGCAAAGGCGTTTTCGTATCGAAGTCATGGGAAAGAGCAATTTCATGCCCGAAAACAATAAAATTGGGAGTAAATCCAGTAACTTTGTGCTTGGCTGATCTGATGGTACTACCAGCTTTTGCAAGAAATTGTTCCTATTGCCGATGGTCCTTGTTCACGTAGCTCGTGAATATCGTCTCGAGCATACGATGGACACGCTCAACTGGGTTTACTTGCGAGTGGTAATTAGTAGTGTAACGTAGTTCAATGCCATAACCAGTGGTGGTATTCTTGAAGAGTGAGCTACGAAACTGGGGGCCATTGTTAGCGATGACCTTCTTTAGCACACCGTTATTAAAATGACGTGGTCTTCCAGCCACTTGACAATACAAGCCGCAGTAGCTGATCGGAGAGGGAAAAACACACCGAAAAGATATAGGAAAACCCAAACATTGACCTATGCAAGGGACTTACAATGTCTACACTAATCATTTGCCAAGGTTCAGTTGCGGTGGGTCGTTGACTGAACATTTGCCCAGGAGGTGCTTTTTGAAGTGTTTTGCTCCCAAGACAGATAAAACAGCGTGTTTCATCATGGGCCAGTCATATTTCTGAGAGATTCGAGAATGAGTTTGAGACACACCCAAGTGACCACAAGTGGGAGGGTCATGGTAAGAACGAATTATTTCGGATTTTTCTGCTCTAGGAGCAACCAAACGTCACGGAGACTCACTAGTCGACAAGCCGGGATATGAAGTTTCTTTGGTACGCTTGAATAGCTTACTCTTGTCAATCCTCCACAACGGATATTTGGAAGAATTATCAGATATCTTCTTCATCATCTGCGCATACCATTTGTCCACGATTATGGGAGAAGTATCGTCCAATTCCAAGGAATCGACCTCGGAGACCGAACGGGATAGCGTATCTGGAACCACATGTTCCGGTAAGGGGCTTAGACTGCTCAGAAATTGGAATTTGCCAATAGGCGGACTTGATGTTCAAAGTGCTCAAATACTTAAAAGAGCGATAGTCAACGCAAAAAACGCCATCCGCCAGTTTTCTTCTTAATCATGACTATGGGAGACGACCAAGGAGAGTCAGAAGGTTCAACAATACCGTCAGCCAACATATTCTCCAACTTCGCATTGACCTCGGTCTGTAAAGCACGAGACAGCGGGTTTGATTGGAGGCGAATTAGTTTTGATGTGTAAAATCTGATTTTTTTTTGAATTCAGGAAACTTTGTCTGAATTTAAAATGCACATCAACACCAAGACGAATTCTTCAGAACTATTTTGACATATTTTTTTAAACATAGGTAACAGGTAAACTGCCAAAGTAAACTGTGACATATTTTCTGGTGGCATTCATTCCGCACCTGTAGTTCTGTTCACTCCAGCGTCCCCAAACGGATGCGATCCGAAGCTTTTTTTAAGGCCCCGCCCTCCATTAAGCTTTTTTTTCTATCCGTGAGGATATGTGTTCTGTGGAATGACTGGAACTGAGAGCTGGAATACACACAGGGCAGCTCTGTTCATTCCGTGACATAATAACGCACGCTACGGGCTGGTATCAGGGTGGCGCGTTTTATTCTACACAGTTCTACTTTCTCTCTTCTATGCACGGAATGACTGGAACTGTGGGCTGAAACACGCACAGGGCAGCTCGGTTCATTCCGTGACATAATAACGCACGCTACGGGCTGGTATCAGGGTGACGCCCTTTATTCTACACAGTTCTACTTTCTCTCTTCTGTGCACGGAGTGACGGAACTGCGGGCTGGAACACACACAGGGCAGCTTCGTTCCTTCCGTGACAGAATAACGCACGCTACGGGCTGGTATCAGGGTGACGCGCTTTATTCTACACAGTTCTACTTTCTCTCTTCTGTGCACGGAGTGACGGAACTGCAGGCTGGAACACGCACAGGGCAGCTCTGTTCATTCCGTGACAGAATAACGCACGCTACGGGCTGGTATCAGAGTGGTGCGTTTTATTCTACACAGATCTTTTTTCTCTCTTCTGTGGACGGAATGACTGGAAGGGCACTTTCCAAATTTCACCGATAAATTGACCGGTTAAATAAACCGGTAGCTGTCGAAAAATTCCGGTAAAAGTTAGATGCAAGTTTGGTTACAAGATCTCTCTGGTGCATTTTGGAACGCTTTGGTGTCAAAGTTTGGTGGTGTTGCTTATTATTTTTTGGAATGGATTTTTTTTGTGGGATGCAGTGAGGTTGGTATGTATTTTTATTATTTTTAACAGTCAACAAACGGTAGTTTTCAGTACGATTTTTGTAGATTATGTGAGCTGAGTATTTGGTTTGTCGATTTCATAATGACGCCCACGCACAAACATTCTTTTATTCTGCCATCTGCAAGCAGCAATTTAACAATAGACTGCCAATAGTGCCTATTCAAAGCAATTAAATTAATTTTCGTCAAAAAAAAAGTGTCAATAACCTTCAACCGAAAAAACCGACAAAAATTCCCGGTGGATTCGGTGCCTCACCGGTTTTAAACAGCTGATCATTCCGCTCAATTTTGGAACGAACGATCGGGTTCAACTGGTAAAAAGTCGGTACATTTTGGAACGGTTTGGTGAGTAAACTATTAAACCGGTATGGCACCGGTTCAGAAACCGGTGAATTTTGGAAAGTGCCCGAACTGAGGGCTGGAATACACATAGGGCAGCTCTGTTCATTCCGTGACAGAATAACGCACGCTACGGGCTGGTATCAGAGTGGAGCGTTTTATTCTACACAGATCTTCTTTCTCTCTTCTGTGCACGGAATGACTGGAACTGCGGGCTGGAGCACGCACAGGGCAGCTCTGTTCCTTCCGTGACAGAATAACGCACGCTACGGGCTGGTATCAGGGTGACGCGCTTTATTCTACACAGTTCTACTTTCTCTCTTCTGTGCACGGAGTGACGGAACTGCGGGCTGGAACACACACAGGGCAGCTCCGTTCCTTTCGTGACAGAGTAAAGAGAGCTACGGGCTGTGATACGGCCAGGGTGGTGCTCTTTACTCTTCACACTTCTCTTCTCTTTCTTACCTACATTCTACTCGAATTAAGAATCTGCGCACGAGGCCCAAAGGCCTAATCCTGCAAGCTGATGGTGTAGGAGCTGGACTGACCAGGGATCCTGGAGCTTTCTTTTGCCGATTAACCGTTACCGTAACCGTCACCGTACCGTAATCTCGAGCCGTTAAATTCACGCGACTAATCTGACACGCACACGCACTTCTTTCGCCCCCCTCACTCTCCGCTTAGCATTTCCTTTTAGCAAACCTGTATCTTGATTAAGTTTTCTTGCATTTCCTTTTAGTATTATAAATTATTGGGTAAACAATAAAAACTACTTTCTTGGTTGGATTGTGTGTTTCATTTTTGGGAAATGCGTAGGGACACTTGGTTTCCCATCTCCACTATTTAAAAGCTACCTAGAGCACGTGGGCCCTTAACCACATTAATCCTAAGGGTGGCGCCCGAGTTTTCCGAAAATTCCGAAATCAACCGCTTTCTTACCGGAAAACCAAAGTAGCGCTACATCTGGATAGCAGACACTTTAGGAAATGATTCCTGAGAATTCCGGAAAGTACATTTACCAGCATGGAAACCTGGTACGATTCCCATTCAGGATCAAAAATCTATTCCTAAAATCAGGGAATAACTTAAAAACGGAATGACCAGAGACTCTATAATAACTATTCGTTCACGAAGTTCAATAGGAAGTCGAGCGAATTCAATCACTTGGCAGGTCTGTAATATTCTCCAACCATTACTGCCAATGATCGTGCGAGAAGCACCATCATCCAACAAACCTGAAAGCGGAACACCGAAAATCAAGACATTTAAATAGGACCCTTCGTTATCCCTAGCATGAGTCAGAACATAATTCAGAATAATGATTGGTCGAAGACTGGCCTAAATGCTATTGAAAGGGTGGCAAGACACTCGGCCTATTGTCTCACCATCAAGAAGCTGTCTATAATTAGTCGGAGGCGCTACGAAACGCTGGATTCTTTGTTCAGTCTCCTCTATGGATCGAGCAAGCTGAATATGTTCATTCTCATGGACGGAAGAAGTCTTATGTGTCGCTAATCGTGACTGGAGATAAGGTAAAAAATTACGCTTGATCAAATGGAGTTTAGTTGCCTCTGAGAGTGTTTGTGATAGCTTTCTAAACATATTCTTCCTTTGCAAACACAAACATAACCAACCTTCTCCTGAGAACCTTGCGTTCTACGACGAATTTAATCCCAAAGGGAAAATTCGTAATCATAGGGAGTGTATGTATTTCGAAGCTGGGTCAATAAATCATCCCAATCACGGAACGAACATGTTCCATACCACAATAGAGCATCTTTTGTAAAAAGTTCAGGAGCCGAACGTAATAATTGCGTTTTCGAAAAGCCTCTCGACAATCGCAATTCTTCTAGCCGCTCTAGAAAATTCATAAGACTTACCTGTCTGTCGAACTTAAGGTTCCAATGACTAATGTTTTTGTATATTGGCGTGTTATTTTCGAATATAGAATGGCTGCGAATAACCACCACAAGGAGAAAACTGAGGTTCGTCAGCTAGTCTTTTAGCCAGCCATGGAAGTTGACACAGGAGACTCTTAATGATGAGTAGAGTTCGCATCAGGTTGCCGAATAGAGAAATTTGATGCTTCAGGCCCAGTAAATCTAAGTTGACGACCCTCAACATCAATGGGCTCTTGAGAGTTCCTTAGTTAATGTTAGGGACGATATAATTCTGCCAGACAGAAGGGCGTACAGACGATGGTTCATATCCTGGAGACAATCTAGAATCACGTATGACTCTACTACACTGCTCAAAGGAAACACCACGGGATCGGTCGATATGATGGAGTGCAGATGACTGAAACATGTCTGATGGTACCTGTGGAACGGAACGTCTTTGCAGTTCTTGCATCTTTGCAACTGAAGCGTCCATTAGGGAGATTCGTTGGGTACATTTTCCTGCGGATAAATATGGGATGCCTCATGAACAGATTAATGTGACGGTTGAGGAAAATTGCAGGACTTGAGACAAATTATAGGAGCAAGAATAAGACGAAGAAATTCCACAGATGTGACAGGGGTTCTGATGTATTGGGCGAACGAGTGCTGTGATAGAAAATTCTCCAAGAACAGAAGATCTTCCATCACTGGTTGAGCGACTTCCAGTTCATCTACAGGTTCTACGAATTAGGAGTTATGAGTTATATGTCAATTCAAGATGTCGACACAAACTACCAAAATGTGATACAAGATTATTTTTCAAAATTTGAACTTGGCCTGAGTCTGGCTGTATCTTTTGTATTCTTGCCTTGACATGCTCTAACAAAGTCGATATTTTTCTATAATCACTGTCTTTACTGGCATGATCAAAACTGAGAATATCTCAATCGATGGAGTAAAGTTTTGCTCCACAAAGGCATAATTCATTGACTGAATTATAAAGGGACGTCTCTACAACCTTCGCGTTCCAATCGCAATGCAGCTCTAAGTTCAGCTCTGCGTTGAGCAAAAGTACCAGCTAAAGATAAACCTCAAACTATTATCTCATGAGTTACTCGCAATTTGAGAAACCGACCCTAAGAATTTTAACTCGAAGGCTCATTCAAATTATATTTTAAATTCTAATCTTACCTCATCGACATTCTGCAAAGGATTCGCCACCGCTCCGCCCGAATAAAAGAAACAATTCAAAAAGTGAGCGATCGCCACCGACAAATTCATCATTTCGCAGCTCTGCAAGTAAGCGGTGAAAATGTGCTTGGCGGATCGCAAAATCAGCTCGCCGACGGCGATGCTGTGTAGATATTCGAGCTGTTTGACTTTCGCCAGCAAGTTCGTCACTTTGCCCAAGTATCTGATGTTGATTCCGCGATTGTGCATGGCTTCGGACAGGGTGACTCCGTCCATCGGGGCCGAAGAATGGTCCAGACAATCTCTGATCTAAAAATTAGTCAAAGTTAATGTCAAATGAAAAAAAAAAAAAAAAAACAGATACAAAAAAATTCAATGATTATAGTATAGGCTTTAATAAATTTCTTTCATGAATATTTATTATTTGTTTACTAGCTAATGACCCTCTGCGTTGCCAGCGTGGAAATACATTTTGAAATATGTAGTATGTACACTTTTTTTCAAATTTTTTTGTTGATTTTCTAAAAGTTTTGCCAGTTGCTTGCCAATGACTGAAGTTAAGTCAGCTGAATGCGCAAGTCTATATAAATAAATGTGACAACGTCTTTTCATGTTGTCAAAAAAACGTTGGGTTATGTTATTATGTAATGTGAATGAGTTAATAATTAATTCAAAATTAATTTTTTTTCCGAGATGCGTAACCTAACCAGAAACCTTCCTTGGGATGGCCATAACAACCTACCAAAGTTTCATCGTAATTGGATAAGTGCTGTAGAAACACATAAGGCACAAACAAGCAAACAAACATTGATTTTTATACATATAGATTACAAAAATTAAACATGTAAATTTATTCCAACAAATTTTCCGTATAAAATTCTGCGAGTCTCGACACGCAAGCCATCAATCTTTGATTGTATCGTTTCATCTTTTGAAGCACCAAATTTTCTTTACCGTCCTGATTCAGAGCCAGAGTTTTCAAAAAATCGCTTCTGCTGGGCGCGTATTTTACTAAAATCGTAACCAGCTGGAATCCCAACCAGCTGTGGTGCGATTCCAACGATCTCGTGTAAGCTTTTTCGACTAAAGAGCCCAAACTGTTTGGCCTCAGGCTTTCGTAATCCTCCATTATGAATTGGAAAAACAGGCCTAGAAAGTTCAAATTTCTTCTAATCCACAATAAGGCGCTAGTGGCTTCGCCACTTTGTTGCTTCAAAATCATTGTTTCTAAAAACTTATTCTGCGACTCGTTTTGGTAATAGCTTTTCTGCAGTTGTTTTATGGACTTTTTCAGGTCGTTAACAAAAAAGGCAGAGGCTGTTCCAAATGTTTCGAATAATTCAACGGTTTCAGAACAGGCTTCTAAAAATTTTAGAGTTTCCAATTTGGACGGGTCCGGAAAACTTTTCAGCAAGCAAAACGCCGTTTTCGAGTTACGATTGTAATCGGGGACGACGTTTTCGTTTTCTGCCAGCATTTTGTCGACTCGAATTTTGGAAATTTCATATGAAAAATTATTAACAACTTTGACAAAAAAATAACACAAATAATGACAGGAAGGAGGTTAACGTTTTTAGTATGACGTTACGTTGGAGGGCAGAAATATTGATGGAAACCTATGGAAGGATATTGTATCCCTTGGGCTACACTGCCACAGTTAACGACTAAAAAAACTCTAGGCATGTCCAAGAAACTTCTGGAGCACATAAAAGGTATTTATTTTAAAAAATCTAACTAAAAACTTGAAAAACACTGTAAATTATATCTTTATTCTATCGCGAATGGTAAACTATCATTTAATCGACTCAAAACTCGTTGTTAAAGTACCACTTTATTTGAAATGGTGAAAACGAACAATTTTTACCCACTCATTTGTCAATTTTACCCACTCATACGTCAATTTTACCCACTCATATATCAATTTTACCCACTTGTTCAAATCTTTTATAATAATTATAGTGTTTTTGACAGAAATCTGGTTATGTTGCATGATTGACAACACCAGAAATGTGTCAGTTTGTTACAGGCCCTGCGATCTCTTATTGCCAGTAATAAACCACATAATAACTCTTTTCCGTTTTTCTAGATGTCGCTGACAACAACAGAATTGTAGAATACCAGCACATCAAGAATGTTGAGAAAAATAAAACCAAAAATATAAATTTTAAGGTTGGGTATTCAGCATCTACTAGAATTGATAGTCGAAGTCAATATTTTTGTTTTACTCGAGATGAGTGAGGTTATGTGAGGGGATGTAAAAAAATAATAATAAACAGGCATATTGCTTGAAATTAAAATTGTTCTTTATTATAAATTAAACCTAAAATAAAAGTAAAAACTAGTAAAAAATCAACAGGTTATGTGCCCAGAGCTTCAGTGCCAGTAAAAACTAAGTTGAAAAAGTAAAATTAAAATCCTGGTAATGTAAAATCCAAAAGCAGTGCTGGTACGGCTTGTGAAATAGAAGAACTCAAAATGGCGTCCAATTCAGAGGAGGCTTACCACATAGAAAAATTGCTGGATGAAACTTCTTATCAGATTTGGAAATTTCAAATCACAGTAACATTTAAAGCCTATGACTTATATGATATAGTGACTGGAAGCAAGGTATCCCCAAGCCCAAATATGGTTGATGAGTTAGCAAAATGGAATAAAAACGATGCAAAAGCCTAAAAACTAATAGTGACATCGATAGATAGAAAATATATGATGCATATCATTGATTGCAAGACCTCAAAGGAGATGTTCGATAAAATTAGAGGAATATTCGAGAAAAGTTCATCAGATCAAATATGCAGTTTGTTACAAGAATTTTATAGCTATTCCTATGTAAAAGGCTCTGATATGGGTTCACACATTAGCAAAATTGAAAACATAGCCCATAGACTAAATACTTTAAATCAAAATATCGATGACAACACGGTTATTTCTAAAATATTATCATCTTTGCCTGCAAGTTATGGTTTCTTCAGAACAGCATGGGAGTCAACTCCAGATAGTGATAAAACTCTAGTAAAATTAACAGCAAGATTATTGGCAGAAGAAGGCAGAAATAAAGAAACAGAAAGTGATATAGCTTTTAAATCCACAGAAAGATTTTGTCAAAAATGTAAGAGTAAAACACATGATACAAGGTTTTGTCGAAAAGTTAAAGATGAAATAAAATGTTTCAAGTGTGGAAATGTTGGTCATAAAGCTAATACATGTACTTCAAGAGGAACAAATAGAGGCACAACTAAACAATGCAGCATTTGCAAGAAAAATAACCATCAGGAACAGGATTGTTATTTTAGAGATAAATCAAAAGATAAAAAAAGTGGAAATAAAGTGGCTTTCTTTACCGAAAACAGAAATTTTAATACACAAGACTTTGTTGTTGATTCAGGATGTTCGTCACACATGGCTAATTCAAAAGCAATGTTTACAAATTTAGAAGAAACATATTCAAGCATACAAGTAGCCAAGAAAAATGAAATGATGACAGCAGAGGGGACAGGGATTATTGAAGGAAGTTCCTGCATACTGAATAATGTACTGTTTGTGCCAGAATTAAGTAAAAACTTACTGTCAGTGAATGCAATTACCGAAAACAATGGAGAAGTGATATTTACTAAAGAAAAAGTCATTATAATGAAAAATGACATAAAAATACTAGAAGGAATGAAGAAAGAAAGTGGTTTGTACTCAGTTAATTTAAATGAAGCTAAATTGGAGACCTATTTTACACAGAAAACAACAGTTGAAGAATGGCATAGAAAATTAGGTCATTTAGGGGTAAGCAACATTAAAAAACTTCTTGATTTGTCTACTGGCATGAAATTAGATAAGAATGATTGTGAATTGATAGTCTGTGAGGTATGTTTAGAAGCTAAGCAGACTAGGCTGCCATTTAACACTGTCAGACAGAGAGCCAAAAGGCCTTTAGAAATTGTGCACACAGATTTATGTGGGCCAATAGAGCCCTTGACTTGGGATGGTAAAAGTTACATATTGACAGTGCTAGATGACTATACTCATTATTGTAACATTTATTTGTTGAAATATAAGAATGAAGCCCCAGAATATATGAAAGATTTCATAACAGAAGTAGAGTCATATCATAACATGAAAGTTGCTAAAATTCGCTGCGATAACGGAGGCGAGTATGTATCTATAAATTTTAAGCAATGGTTGAAAAACAAGGGTATTGTATTGGATTATATTATACCACATACACCACAATTAAATGGGAAAGCTGAAAGGCTAAATAGAACATTGTTAGAAAAGGCCAGAGCATTAATTTTTGATGCCAATATGAATAAGGAATTATGGGGAGAAGCATGTTATGTAGCAACATATTTACTAAACAGAAGCCCCACGGAAGCTACTGAAAAGACCCCAATAGAATGCTGGACTGGTAATAAGCCTAATTTAGCAAGGTTGCAAATTTTTGGTTCCACAGCCTATGCTAAAACCTTGGGTTATTTACACAAACTTGACTCTAGGAGTAGAAAGTATATCTTTGTTGGATATGCAAAAAATGGTTACCGCTTATGGGATGAAAATTTAAGAAAAATCATTGTACAAAGAGATGTAGTTTTTGAAAGAGTTTGTGAGCAGAATAAGACATTAAAGATGAATTTGGAAGAAAATGAACAGAGTGAAGATGAAGATAACCTTGAAGATGACAGATCAACAGACAGTGAAGAATTATTATCAAGTGAATCTGAACAACAAAATCAATCGATGCAGAGAAATGAAAGATTAGGAGAAGGAGAAGGTCGTTTACAAACCAGAAGAGGAAGCAGGGAAATAAAACAACCAGATAGATTGAAGGATTATATATTGGACCTGAATGATGAAGCTTTGTTAACATATCGAGAAGCAATTACTGGACCAGAGAAAGAAAATTGGTTAGCTGCTATACATGAAGAAAAACAATCATTAGACCAAAACGAAACTTGGGAGCTTATTGATAAAAATGAAGTGAAAAATCAAAGAATATTGACTAGCAAGTGGGTATTTACTGTAAAAGATTGTGGTAAATACAAAGCACGATTAGTGATAAGAGGATGTCAACAATACCATGGCATAGACTACAATGACACGTTTAGCCCAGTTGTAAACACTAGTTCACTCAGAATTTTATTTGCATTAGCTGCCAAAACTGACATGAAAATCACAAAATTTGATATAAAAACAGCATTTTTATATGGAGAACTATCAGAGGAAATCTATATGCATATACCAGAAGGTTACATAAATGAAACAACAGAAAATAAAGTATGCCAATTGAAAAAATCCCTATATGGTTTAAAACAGGCCCCACT